ACTAAAGGCCGGGCCCACACAAGGGCATGTGTAAGGTGGGTATAAGCAGAGGCAACAAGCAGTTCACAGGTGTGTGGAACAGGAATAATGCTGTTTGCCAAGGGCTACCCACCTATACCATCTGTTAACCCTTGTGACATTAGGGAAGGCAGCGTTAAAACTCCATTTTACAGGTGAGCAAACAAAGGCTTAGAGAAGGTAAGTATCCCAGTGCCTCTTCACAGGAATGTGATGGAAGAGGGAACATGTAAGCTGGAGAAAGTAATCACTTGTCCTGAGAGGTGGGCCTCATGAGAGGTGGGCAGCGGCAAAGCAACCCTGTCCAGTTCCAGCTCTGCCCCTTCCTAGCAAGGTGCCAACCTCCCTATACCTGTTTCCTCATCTGTAGAGTTGGAACCAAGAGGGAAGTTGTTGTTGTTAGGTGCCATCGAGTCGATTCCGACTCATAGAGACCCTACAGGACAGAGTAGAACCGCCCTATAGGGTTTCCAAGGAGCAGCCGGTAGATTCAAACTGTTGACCTTTTGGTTAGCAGCCAGAGCTCTTAACCACTACATCACCAGAGCTCCTAAGAGGGAAGTAGCTAATAGTAAGTGAGAAAACATACAAGTGCCTACCCAGTGCTGGTAAACACTAGGAGCTCAATGAGTGCTCTTGCTTGGACTTAAAGCACCTGGGCTGATGTACCTTTTTTTCAAGGATGGGTCCAACCTGCCTGCCCTGAGACAAGACATTTGGAGCATGGTCTGTTCTCACGGGGCCGAGAGGTTTTCCTGCCCAGCGGCCCTGAATCATGTTCTTCTCCCAGACCTGCCCTTCCTGGCCTTGGCATCCCTCCCAGGACTCTGCCCAGGCCTTCCGCCAACTTTTGCCCTTCCAGGAACTGCTCCCTACTCTCCAGGGCTGGTTTTCTGAGAAGGGGAGAAGGACCAGGCACAATTTATTTAAAAAAAAAAAAAATATCCAAAGCAAGACTTTGGGGTCCAACATGGCATTTTTGGAAGATAGAATCAAAACTGTCTAGCCCCACTTGGCTTACTGTCTACCTTAACAAGACTTAATTATTCCACTGTTTTCTTCAACATAACCTTACTATTTCAGGAAACTCCTGGCCAGGAAGATGAAAGTCGCAAATACGTTATTGTTCATTCCAGGAGCTTCCTGAAAGAATAATTTAAAGAAATATTGGCCTGTTCAACTCTTCAATAAATCAAAACAAACCAAACCCGTTGCCGTTGAGTTGATTCTTACTCATAGCAGAACTCAGAGTAGAGCTGCCCAATAGGGTTTCCAAGGAGTGGCTGGTGGATTTGAACTGCCAACCTCTTGGTTAGCAGTCAGACACTTAACCGCTATGCCACCAGGGCTCCAACTCTTCAATAGATAGCATCAAAAGAGAGTTTATACCTCAACACTCACCTCAAAGTCCCCTCTTGCTATGTCCCCTGATCCTAAACTATATACTAATCTTCACCCAGTCCTACTCAGGGCTCCCTCCACTGCCTTGAAAGCCCCACCTAAACCAGACCCTAAAATTCTGAGAACTCTCCTGACTTGCCCTCCCCATTCTGAGATGCTAGTGAGACTCTGTGGAGGCAGAACTCTCTCTTAGGTCAGGAAGAGTAAGCTCAGCCTTGTCTGATCAGTAGGTTGGTCTGGTGATATTTTCAGTGAGACAGTATTTGACAAGAAGAAACTGAGTCAAGAGAAGGTCTTCTCTCTGACCCTTGAGGTGGAGGAAGGCAGTGGCCTGAGTCCAGGCCAATCCCCAGGAGGCAGTTAACAGGACCCCGGAATCTGAGAAATAGTGACCTCGCAAGATCCAGCAAGGCCCTCGGGGAATTCCCGGGCACAACCTCTTCACTCTGCAGACAGGAAAGGGGCCTGGAGATCTGTGATTTGTCTAAATCACAAAGCTAGTTCAGTTGCTATGGGGATTAAATGAGTGAATACAGTGTCTAAGTAAAGGGCTTAGACACTGCCTGGTACCAACCAAGCTCTCTGTGTGTTTGTTAACTGAAAATAGTGGAGTGTCTGGCCTAACTCTAGGCAAACTCAAGTTGGCCTTTTGGATTTCAAAAACAAAAAACTGATTTTAACCTCGAATCCACACAGTGGTTCTCTACCTTGAGCTTGATCAGAATCACCTGGAGGGTTTGTTAAACTACTCCCAGAGTTTCTGATTCAGTAAATCTGGGGTGGGGTCTGGGAATCTGCATTTCTAACCAGCTCCCCAGTGATGCTGATGCCGGCCAGGAGACCCCGCTTTGAGAACCACTGACCCAGAGGAATGGATTGCTAAGGGTGTAAAACCTGGCACAGGTGAGAGAGGAACGTGGGGACAGTGGGTCCCTTGGCCCTTTCCCCGGAGTAGGGGATCCCCCGGGCGGGCCCCGAGCTGTTTTCGCAGCAGCACAGCTTCAGGCTGCGCGTCCGTTCTGCCTGCCTGCGCCCCACTGGGAATATTCTGAGTAGCCCCCTACTCTGTCTTTACTTCCTGCTTTCAACAGGAGGGGCAGCCCTTCTTCTTTGCAGCTGGGCAGGTTTGACACCCAGGCAAGGGAGGTCTGTGCACTGAGAATGAATCAAACACCCACCAGGCAGGTGAAACCAACGCATCCTTTATTGCAGACTCAAAGCGACAGGAGTTCACTCACACTGGGAGCTCCGATTTAGGGAGCTTCTCTGACTGCCCCAGCTTCCCCAGAGAGGGACGGGCAAGCTCTCCAAGCAGAGAGCAGCGTAGAAAACAACTTCTGGGGAGCAACCCCTTGAAAGGGCCTGAGGTGAAGCCCTGGGGAACAGGTGGCTTGGCATGCAGGGCTTAATCAGAAAGACAGCGGCCAGAGGTGATGAGGCCTTGGTCAGGCAAACACAGGCCTCCTCTCCTGCCACTGTGGGTCACTCCCTTCGCTGGAGTGTGGGGCAAACTCTGAAAGACTCAAGAGGCCCAGGGTCTCCCAGCCAGGGCTGGATTAGGAGGGAATGAGCAGGTCCAAAGCCCTGTTAAGTAGCAGGTTGGAGAGCAGAGAGAACTCCACCCTCGACTCTGAGGACATCCCCAGGGCCATGCCTAGAACCTTGCTTGCTTCTCAAACTGTAAAGTACTTGTAGGAGTCACCGGGGGGTCTTGTTAAAGTGCAGATCCTGATTCAGAAGGCCTGGGGTGCAACCTGAGAATTTGCATTCCTAACAAGCTCCCAGGTGAGGCTGATGCTGCTGGTCCATCGACCACACTGTGAGCTGCAAGGCTGTTGTTTGTATCAGAAAAAGCCGCCCTTTGACTAGGAGAAACCTAGCTCTAGGACATGGGTAGGGCAAGCTAGGCTTCAGCCCCCACTCACTCCCAATGGTCAGAGCTGAACTCACAGCCCTGGAGATCCTGTCTCGACCTCCTCACCCTGAAACCCCTTTTCCCAGAGCTTGGCCAACCAGGCCTTGGGAAATGAGCAGAGTGGACAAGGTATCTCTTGGGACACAGAGCACTCAGCAGTGGGCCAGCAATGCCCCCACCTGTCAGCTCCCTGCCGTGAGTCAGGAGGCCTGGACAGGGTCAGACCGATGGGCTGGGAGCACTTTGAGGAAGGGTTTCTGCTCTGCGGACTAGTCTGGGCTGGGAACAGCTTAACCCTAGGAGTGGTTGAATGGCCACTAGTCCACAGGATGCAGGAGTTGCATGGCCTGGGGTGTCAGGCTGCCTCCAGATACCCACACAGAGGTCCAGGCCAGGTAAGTTCTGGGGCAGCTCCAAGTTAGCTTGCTCCACAGGTGAGGAGAGGGTGGGAGGTAGATACCTAGAGGGTCAAAAGGTCAGGGGTTCTGCAAACCAAAAGTGTTGCCAGAAAGCAAGAGCCCAGGCCTTCTCCTGGCAGGATGCCCAACCATCCCGGTTTTAGCACTGACAGTCACATTCCGGGAAACCCCTCAATCCCAGGCAAACCAGGACGGTTGGTCACCCCATTGCCTGGCCACATCCTAGACCCCAGGCTGAGGGCCTAGAAATGACTAGGTCGTCAGGGCTTTGGGTAGTGACGTGGGAGCCAAAGGGCTATGAATCTGTTGGTCTGCAGAGCCCCCAGGTGACCGCTTACATGGCAGGCAAGCAGTGGCCTGAGGGAGACTGGTCAGTGTGACCATCAAATTACCTAGGACCAGGCCACAGGGTAAATGCCTCTGTTTCTCTGGGGGCCACTTCTCCTGCGGCTCAAAGGAGGATGTCAGCCGCACCGGTCCCTCCTGAGGGAGGGATAGAGTTCCCAGAGCTTCCTCTCCTCTCTCCTGCCCATTCCTTTATCCTAGGAAGCAGAGCAGAGGAAGCCCAGAGGCAACCAGCCTCAGCCTCCTAAATGAATGTTCTCAGCCCTGCTTGGCCCCGCAGGCAGATTCTCACCCCAGCTTTCACACCACTCCTGGTTCCAGCTCCCGCTATCTGGGTATCTAGGATGGGGCACTGTGAAGGGTGTGCCTTCCCCCGAGTCTGTTCTCAGGAAGCAATAAATAGACGGAGGTTGTCTTCTACTCCTCTCAGAGTGGCAACCGGCTCTCAGCACTAAAAACAAGGCCTCAAACTCGCAGGTCCGAGAAAATGCTCAACAGTGCTCATTCCATGGGCTCATAAGGTAGCTGAAGTGGGTGTGAATGGATAAACAAAATGTGGTACCTGAAGACTGGAGGTAATTTGGAGGCATGTATTTCCTAAAAAGCCTCCAAGAGCCCAAAGGAGGCAGAGGCTCCCAACCGAAGCCCCTTTTTCCAAATACCAAGGCTCAGAGAGGGCGAGGGGTCTGCCCAGGTTTGCACAGAAGCTGCGAGTGCTCCAGCTCCAGCTCCAGCCCCCTCGCCTCCTCCCTCAGGTGTGTCAGGCCCCCTACTGCTCTAAGCTATCTATCCTGGGCCCTGGGCCGGCCACACCCCTTCCCTTCATGCGCTATCTGGCCCGCCCGCCCCCAAACCCCCAAGCTTGGCCTCCCATGGGCCCATGGGATCCCTCCCCTCAGGGTGCTAGGCCAAGTGGCCTCTGTCCCTTGCTGGGTGGGCATGAGGAGAGTGGCCTAAGGTGGGAGGGCCTGCGCGCCCTCCGGAGACATGAGCATGTCAAACTTGATGAGTGGTGGGGCGATCACGCGCACCTCAGCGTTCAGCGGGTTGAAGCGGAGGTTGATGCTACGCAAGGCTGGCATGGCAGCCAACTTCTCCACAGGCACATCTGTTGGGGAGAGAAGGGACAGGTTAGGAGGGCTGGGGCCAAGGAGGCAGAGAAGACACAGGTCAATGGACCAGGAAGACAATGACACAGTGGCAGGGAGCAGGCTCCAGCCCCCACTGCACGTACGAGTCAGCTCCTGGGTGCCAACCAAGGTACCACAACCACATGGAGGAAAGCATCATGAAAAATAAGGCCCAGGTTTCTCAAAATGTTAAACACAGAATTACCCTATGGCCAAGCAATTCTACTCCTAGATATTTATCCAAGAGAACTGAAAGCAGAAACACAAAGACATATGTATACACTAATGTTCATTGTAGCATTATTCACAATAGACAAAAGATAGAAACAATCCAAATGTCCATCACTGGATGACGAATGGATAAATAAAATGTGGTATATACACACAAGGGAGTATTTTTCGGCCATAAAAAGGAATGAAGTTCTGATATATGTTGCAACATGAATGAATCTCACGAACATTATGCTGAATGAAAGAAGTCAGACACAAAAGACCACAGACTGGATTATTCCATTCATATGAAATGTCCAGAATAGGCAAATCCATAGAGACAGAAAATAGATCCGTGGTTGCCAGGGCCTGTGAGAGGGGAGAATGCGGGGTGACTGCTTAATGGAGTCTCCTTCAGGGTGATAAAAAAGTTCTGGAACGAGACAGTGGTTGTACAACACTGTGAACGTATTAAATGCCACTGAATTATACACTTTTTAATGTACAATGTTATGTGAATTTCACCTCTATAAGAAAAAATAAATAAGGATCAGGACAAGGCAGTAGCCATATTAAACACTTGATGATGCTTAACAGTTCCTCATACCTTCAGGGATCAGTCCCTGCAGGAGGACATCGTGGTTGGTAAAGTAGAGGGTCAGCAAAAAAGAGGAAGACCCTCAACGGGATGGATTGACACGGTGGCTGCAACAATGGGCTCAAGCATAACGAGTGTGAGGATGGCGCAGGACCAAGCAGTGTTTCATTCTGTTGTACTCAACGGCACCTAACAACAACCTTTAGGATAAGGACCCATGGTGGTGCAATGGTTAAGCGCTCTGTTGCTAATCAAAAGGTCAGCTGTTCAAACCCACCAGAAAGATGTGGCAGTCTGCTTCCATAAAGACTACAGCTTTGGAAACTCTATGGGGCACTTCTACTCTGTCCTATAGGATAACTATGAGTTGGAATTGACTCAAAGGCAATGGGTTAAACCTTTAGGAGCACCAGTCTGATGTTCAAATCCCAGGTCCACCACTTAACAGCTGTGTGGCTTTAAGCAAATTACTAAACTTCATATTAGGGTGATAATAATATATATATATATCCCTAGCAGGGCTGTTTCAGGATGAATAAGATGATATATATATATATACACAGTACTCAATACTAGATATTATTATTAAAGGAAACCAGGGCCCAGAAAAGTCGAGTAACTTGCCTAAGGTCACAAGTGTGTAATTAGCTGAGCTAAGATTTGAATCTAGGTTCTCAGAAAGGCTGTGGGAGTTCAGTGGAGGGAGTGGCCAGGCTGAGCCTGGAGGTGGCAGCTGACTTAAGCTGTTGAAGGATGGACTGGATTTAAATGGAGGGGAGTGGGTGGGGAGGCTTGTGGTTGGAGAGTAAAACCAAAAAAAAACCCCAGATCTGTTGCTGTCAAGCCAATTCTGACTCATGGCGACCCCATGTGTTACACAGTAGAACTGAGCTCCATAGGGTTTTCTTGGCTATAATCTTTAAGGAAGCAGATCACCAGGTCTTTCTTCCGTGGTGCCACTGGGTAGATTTGAACTGCCAACCTTTAATTATTAGTTGAGTATAAACAGTTTGTACCACCCAGAGACTTGGTTGTAAAGAAGGGGCAAAACAATAGGGGCCGGATGCCCAAGAGAGAATGGGGACGGGAGTGGCTAGAAGGTAGACTCAGTGGCATCTAGAGGCTTCCAGGACCAGATTCTGAGGCCCCAACCATGTCAGCAGTTTGGAACAGCAAGAACTGCAGGAACTCTCAGCCCAGGAAGCTGCGCACTCCCATCTGGTCCCAGGGAGCCTGTGGGACAATTTGGTCTGTTTTTCTGTTCCCCACTTTGGACCACCAGTATGGGGGAGTCACTACTTAGGAGGGGGAGCCTTGTGGTTAAGAAAGTGACTCCAGACCACCTGAGTTCAAATCCCAGCTCTGCCAATTTCTAGCTGTGTATCCTTGGGCAAGATAAACACCAAACTTTCTGTGACTCAGTTTCCGCATATGTAAATGGGGGTAATAATAGTACCAACCCATGACACTGTAGTGAGGATTCAAGGAGTTAGTCCAAAGTACTTAGAAGTGGCTGGGCACACAGTAGGTGGTAGATAACAGGAGTGAATGTTATGACATACAGGCTGGAAGGCCTGGGCTGCCCTGGATGGATAAGCCTTGTCCAGGTGGCACCAGTGGCCGCATCCTCTGCTCTGATCAAACTTTCTGTCCCTGGATACACATTCTATACATCATGGCCCTTACTTCAGTGTGTAGTTCCTAAAAAGAAGGACATTCTCTTATGTCACCAAAGTGCAGTTATCAATTTCATACATTTACATTGATATAATACTTTTATCAAATACATTGCCCATATTCCAGTAATGACGTCCTTCATAGTACCCTCTCCCCTCCCCGCAGTACAAGATCCGGTCTAGGGGCAGGTATGTCTCTGTGGACTCCTTTAATTTGCAGGCACAGTCTTTCTTTGCCTTTTATGACACTGACATTTTTGAAGAATACTCCCCCCCCCCCGCTTTCTCGCTATGAATCAGAATCGACTCGAGGCAACGGGTTTGGTTATGAACAGAGCGCTCCTCGTGTTGTTTCTCTGATGTTTCTCATGATTAAACTGGGATTGTGCATCCTCGGCTGGGAAATTGCACAAGTGATGTGTCCTCAGAGTATCACATCAGGAGGCACACAGTGTCCATTTGTCCCTTATAAGTTGTGTCATGGATTGAATTGTGTCCCCCAAAAGTATCTGTCAACTTGGCTGGGTCATGATTCCCAGTATTGTATGATTGTGTACCATTTTGTAAATCTGATGTGATTTCCTTATGTGCTGTAAACTCTATCACTGTGATGAGGTTATACTGATGAGGTTTACAAGATTAGACAGTATCTTAATCCAATCTCTTTTGAGATGTAAAAGAGAGAAGCGAGCAGAGACACATGGGAACCTCATACTACCAAGAAAGCAGTGCCGGGAGCACAGCATATCGTGTGGACCTGAGGTTCCTGCACAGAGAAGCTCCCAGACCAAGGGAAGATGGACACGGACCTTCCTCCAGAGCCAACAGAGAAAGTGTTTCCTTGGATCTGACGCCCTGAATTTGGACTTGTAGCCTCCTGGACTGTGAGAGAATAAGCTTCTCTTTGTTAAAGCCATCCACTTGTAATTCTGTTAGAGCAGCACTAGATGACTCAGACAAGTAACATTAATTTTGATCACCGGTGAAGGTGTTGCCTGAACTCCTCATGGTATAATTACTGAGGTTTTTTTCCTCCTTTGCAACTAACAAGCAGCCTCTGGGGACACACAACATCCTGTGCCTCATCAAAATTTAGCACCCACTGCCCCTAGGTTTAGCATCTACTGAGGATTCTTGGCTGACTTTCATGATGGCTGTAAAATGATTTTCCAACTCCAGTACTCCCTTGGCATTCGGCTGTAAGCAGAAGCTCTCCCTTCTCTCTCATTTATCAATCGATCATCAATATGGCCTCTTGTGCTTCCAGCGGTTTATAATTCATCATGGTATTTAATTACTTTGGTGCTCAAATTGTCCCAGATCTGGCCAGTGGGGGCCCCTTCAGTCTGGCTCCTGCGTCTTTTGACATGCCGCCTGCAAGGTTTTGATGAACTTTCTTACTTTCTGGTAAGGCTCTTCTTCGACCTGCCCTGCCCCAGTCCTGGAAGCAACGACTTCTCCAAGAAGCCCTGGTTCTTTCCACGGGGAAGGGCTTTCGTGCTAGGTGGCTAAGCGTGCGTTTCAACCCATCCATGAGGCACGTGTGCATCGCATCCACTGGCTTTTGACTGTTGCCTGGAATACCAGGCCACATTCCTTACCGCCTACCTCTCTCCTGTGCCAGCAGTGGGCACCTTGGGGGCCTCACCTGCCCTTAAGGGCTGGGGTGAGCACTCTTCTGATGTATGTATGTCCAGGAGCAGGGTTGACTGCTGGGTCACAGGATACTGGGTATACTTCATCTGACTGCTCTCTAGGACTCCTGCTGAGTCTACCAGGAGCTCCAGGCACCCTGCTGCCACAAGGGCTTTCAAAAGAGGCTGCCTGGACCTGCCGGCCCCACCTCCAGGTTGACAGATACACAGCCCTTGACCTTCAGCATGGGAGCCCCAGGCCTGCAGCAAAATTTCTGCTGCATCCTTGGAGCTCTGAGGTGAGGGATGGGGCAGTGCCTGGGGCTCCATAACCAGGAAAGAGCCTCCACAGCTGAATCCCCTGAAGGCAGATACACCTCTCCCCTCTGGGCTTGGTACTGGATATAGCTACCCCTTTGCACTCCTGGGGAGAAAGGGAAGGAGAGGCCACTAGCTCGCACATACATGTCACACCGGAGTTTATAAAGCATTTCCATATCTGATCTTCCCCACAGCCGTGGGGGTAGAGCAGGTGCTCCTCTGCCCACTTTACAAATGAGGAAACTGAAGCCTGAGTTAGCCACGGAGATGGACTGAATATAAGATTACAGGGAAAGGAAACAGGCATTGAGCCTCAGATCTCTTCTGCAAGTGTTACAGCTGCCTGAGCCCACTCACCTGCTCACAGAAGCACAGAAGCCCTGGATTTGGCCTCTGTGGAGAAAGCCAACCAGAAGGTTCTGTGAGGGACTCATTTTCATGGGCTGTTGGCCAGAGGCTGGACAGACCCCAGAAGAGAGACCATCAGAGCTGGGAGGACCTTTGAAATCAAGGAAGCCAAGGTGCAGCGGGAAGAAGCA